AAAAAAAAATGCATTTTGTTCGAGTTTCAACATTAAAACAAAAAAGCATAAATAGAACGTATTTAACGATAAATATTGAGTAATCGAATTCAGTATGAACACACAAGAATATTTATCATTACCACGAAATTTTGCCACTATTGCTATTCATTCTGCTCAAGAACCGGAAAAATGGGAACATTTAAGTGTGGTACCTCCAATAGTCACATCTACAATATTTAAACATCTTAGTCCCGCTGTTCCAAAGGTAATAGTAAAACGATAGTTACTTTAAAGTCATTAAATATAAAATACTTATAAAATTCTCAGTTGTATGCTTACGGAAGGGCGGGTAATCCTTCGCGAAACACCTTAGAAGAATGCTTGGCAGCAATCGAAGGTGCCAAACACGGTCTTTGTTTTGCTTCAGGATTAGGGTCCATGACTACAACACTATTTCCGTTTTTGATACCATATCGACGCCTTTTTTGGAAAACATAACAAATTATGCAAAAATAAAAAATATTTAATATAGTTTTTATTTTTAGATGATATGGATTGAGACACCAACAAATCCAACTTTAAAAGTAATCGATATAGCAGCAGTTTCTAAAATTGCCAAAAAACACAAAATACTTCTAGCTGTTGACAATACATTTTTAACGCCGTATTTCCAAAGGCCTTTGGAGTTGGGGGCCGACTTATCAGTTTATTCCCTTACAAAATACATGAATGGTCACTCTGATATAGTAATGGGTGCCATTGTGGTAAACGATGAGGCCTTACATAACAAAATACGATTTTTACAAAACGGTATGTAAGAGCAGAGTTTTATTAAATCTGCGGATAGGGGGGGAGCCTTGTCGATCATCATTTTAATATTTGTAATGAGTAAACGTCTTGGTTTTAGCGATGGGCATTATACCATCGCCGTTTGATTGTGCACAAGTGAATAGAAGTCTGAAAACTTTGGCCCTTAGGATGCAACAACATTCTAAGAATGCCATAGCTGTTGCCAAATTTTTGGAGGGTCATCCAAATGTTATTAAAGTTTTACATCCAGGTATAAACGCTTCAATCAAATGCCATTTTTGAATTTCAGTAATTTCTTAAAATTTAAAGGGTTACCTTCTCATCCTCAACATAAACTTGCGAAAAAACAGACTGCAGGGCACAGCGGGATGATTTCTATTTATATAAAGGGCGGACTGGAGGAATCGAGAAAGTTTCTAAGTTCCCTCCAGGTTTTCACTCTTGCAGAGAGTTTGGGAGGGTATGAGAGCCTTGCAGAATTACCGTAAGTCAAAACAATGGTTTTATTTTCCCTTATAATCTGAGTTAATGTCTTCTAGATCAATTATGACACATGCTTCTGTACCTGAAGAACAAAGAAATGAATTAGGAATATCGGACAATCTTATTAGATTATCTGTCGGTATTGAAGATGTTGAAGATCTCATCCAAGATCTTAAACAAGCTTTAGAAACGATAAAATAAAGCCTGTTGCTTTGAAATATATTTACATTTTTAAAGTATTGTACTNTTCATTTTACTACTATCAACGCCATAGTAAATTAATTAAAAAAAAAAGCAAGTGTGGTATTTTGTCCCTATTTTAATAAGTAATATTTAAATGTGTATTTACATCTAGTTAATTATTTGTAGTGCTTTTAATTTATTATTTTAAATTTCTGTAGGAATCAGATCTGCCAAATCTGAGTCAATATCAGTAGTTATTTTTTTATGATCACGTCTAGTATGTTTAAACTTTAAACAAATTTATATATTTGTTTTTAAATCTAATGTTATGATAGTGAAATATTTGTGATATACAAATAAAAGTAAAGTTGTTAAGAAAATCTACTTTTGATTCTATTACTAAACCCCCTTCATGGATTGTTGCTAAAAAAGTACTAAAAAGTTTTAGAGACTTATATGCACAAGATATAAAATTTTATAAAGTGGAAAGTAAACAATAAAATGCTATATTTGTTCCTTATTAAAACCATAAAGGAACAATGTTATAATTTCTAGGTCACTAAATTATATTCACAGTTAAAAGACAACAAAATTACAAAATAAACTATCAAACCGTGTTATCAATAGCCCTAAAGTTGTTGCGACAATAAATAATATTGTTTTAATTTATTTAACAAATCTTATTGAAAGAAAAAAAAAAGAAAATAAATTCTCAGAAAACAATAAACTGATAAACACGTTCATATGATAATTTTGGACTTGAAAATTAGTTTTGCGATTAAAAAACAAATACAACATAAATTCTGATTAAAAATTCAATTTTTATTATTTAAAAAGTAAGGTGTTTATAGGCTTTTTAGATTGGTATCAAATGCATGAAATTTCATGTTTAAGGAAAATATAATTAAAAATTTAATTAGACCATTTGTTTTTAAGATATTAGCCTCAACAATCCCATTATTTAATAGAAATTAAAATTGTAGTACTAAATTAATGAGGAAAATATACATTTAATTCGTTCGAACACGTGAATCCATTAAACCGCGTTTTATTTTTATACCTATGCATAAAAGCCGTAATTAATCGCTATTGTGAACATTAAACGGCTTACTGATAAAAAAAAAATGCATTTTGTTCGAGTTTCAACATTAAAACAAAAAAGCATAAATAGAACGTATTTAACGATAAATATTGAGTAATCGAATTCAGTATGAACACACAAGAATATTTATCATTACCACGAAATTTTGCCACTATTGCTATTCATTCTGCTCAAGAACCGGAAAAATGGGAACATTTAAGTGTGGTACCTCCAATAGTCACATCTACAATATTTAAACATCTTAGTCCCGCTGTTCCAAAGGTAATAGTAAAACGATAGTTACTTTAAAGTCATTAAATATAAAATACTTATAAAATTCTCAGTTGTATGCTTACGGAAGGGCGGGTAATCCTTCGCGAAACACCTTAGAAGAATGCTTGGCAGCAATCGAAGGTGCCAAACACGGACTTTGTTTTGCTTCAGGATTAGGGTCCATGACTACTGTACTGGGTCTGTTCGCATCTGGAGATCACATTATTTGTAGCGATAACCTTTTCTGGGGAACTGCTAACCTTTTCGATAAAGTTGGAAAGCCCTTGGGTCTTGATTTTACATTTACAGATGTTACAGACGTCAAAGAAGTTGAAAAATGTGTTAAAACTAACACTAAAGTAAGACATTAATTCTTCTAGCCAATAAGATTTTTTTTGGATTTCATATCTCTAAAAAACAGAATCTTTTATTTAACTGACCTCTACACTTTTAGATGATATGGATTGAAACACCAACAAATCCAACCCTAACAGTAATCGACATAAGGGCAGTTTCAAAAATTGCTGAAAAACACAAAATAATTTTGGCCGTTGACAACACATTTTTAACGCCCTATTTTCAAAGACCTTTGGAATTGGGAGCAGATTTATCAGTTTATTCCCTTACAAAATACATGAACGGTCATTCCGACGTCATTATGGGTGCCATTGTACTTAATGATGAAACTTTACATACCAAATTACGTTTCCTCCAAAACGGTATCTGTTACATCTTTTTTATTATATAATTTACTTATATATGAATAATACTTAATCTTTAGCAATGGGTATTGTACCATCACCTTTTGACAGTGCTCAAGTAAACAGAAGTCTGAAAACTTTGGCCCTTCGGATGCAACAGCACTCCAAGAATGCTTTAGCTGTTGCTAAATTTTTGGAAGGACATCCAAACGTCGACAAAGTCTTACATCCAGGTAAATTATCGACTTGAAGCAAAATATCACCTTCCGCAGCTGATATTTTATTATTTTTTTATCAAGGGTTGCCTTCTCACCCACAGCATACACTTTTTAAAAAGCAAACCGCAGGACATAGCGGAATGGTTTCGTTCTACATAAAAGGCGATTTACAACAAACAAAACGGTTTTTGCAATCTCTAAAAGTTTTTATATTAACGGAAAGCCTAGGAGGATATGAAAGCCTTGCAGAGGCACCGTAAGTCAAATTTAACTTAATTTAAATTGTTTGTCTCGTTTTATTCAATAAGATTTCCTTATAGATCAATTATGACACATGCTTCTGTACCTGAAGATCAAAAAAAGAAAATTGGAATTTTGGACAACTTGGTTCGGTTATCCGTTGGTTTAGAAGACGTTGATGACCTCATCAGAGATTTAAATCAAGCTTTGGAAATAAAATAAAATAAAGGCGGCAATAGTGACTTGACCTCTGCAGGCTAAAATTACTATTATTGCAAAATAATTTTGAAAATTAATTTTTGTTTGAAATTAACAATTACTTTAGTTGGGAACATTAAAAAATTGTTTCTATAAAAACTTAGTTTATTAAATCGCAAACTGCAACCGAAATACGAACAGTAATAAGTTAATAATTACCGACAATATTTAACAATCCGTTGGTAATTGCGTCACATGTCATCTTGTTGATGCTCTCGCACTTAATAAGGTTCATCTTGACACTGCTCAAAAACTGAAAAAGGAAAAAAAACAATCATTATTACTACATATCTAATACTATTTTTTCTTTTAATTCGAAAGTTCTTGAATTTTTGATCTTTAATAAAGTCGTTACTAGTATAGACTGATCAAGTACAGAAATACACAATTAACTGCATTAATGTTTAATACAGACTTGGGTTATGCTAATAAATACTATTATTCAATTTTGTTTGTTTTACCCAAGATAACGAAAAAAGAAGCGTTGCATCGTCTGGGAATCGAACCCTAAATAACACTTTCTTTAGTAGTTATTAGTAAATTACACGTTAAATTGGTAAAAGTACATAGGGTATTTCATAAAACATCTATTTCTGCTTTTCTGGCCATTTTCTTACCTTCTCTTGGTGTTTCAAACTCCTGTCCAAAAAATAGTCCTTCAAAAAGACATTATTGCTATTGGTTCTCCTAACATATTCGACGACTTTTCTTGCTTTATCTAAAAACTCCTTCACATGTAATCCTTCAGCAAAAATGCGTGTCTTAAATTTGTAAGGCACAAATTGGTTCTCTGTGTTCTCTTTTTTATGAGCAATCAGACAGCGGATGTTCGACGGAGCCGAAGGTCCGCCTAGGGTATCGTATGGGGTCAAAATGATTCCAAGACAGGGCCGATCTCTGCCTCCTAACCAGCTCTGCAATGACACCTGTGTTTCTATATCTTGTTGTGAAGGTTCAGGAGAGAATGTAGGATGAGAGTGAAACCATCCCACCACTTCCAAGCCTTCGGCGTGTATGTTCTCCGCGGCCTTCGCCTGCGTTACCGGACACATATCGCAGTGGGTGGCAGAATCAGAAGTGTTACGACATGGCTGGTAAGCTGTAACGGTTAATTGACCTGTTTTCTCGTTCCAACTTCCTCCTACTAAGCCCATCACTTCTGTATAACAAGTGTGAGCGTGGAGATCCATTAAGATGAGGGCGGAAACATGAATTAAAACGTTGAATGGTTGCTAAGAAAAGAAATTAGGGTTAATAAGAAACGAATTGCGAGTAAACACAAAAATCAGAACAATCTAGCAAAATAATTTTAGACAAAATGGACAGAAAAATTTCTTACAGGAAATTGTTCGTTAAAGGGCCTGCAATAAATAAGTTGAATAGGTGGTTTTTTAGGACCTGTTGGTGTTGCCTTCTTAGCAGAACTTTCATCCACAATGGTGGTATGTATAACTTCACCATCAGCCCCATGTGCCAATGTTTTACCTCCTTCTCCATTCTAAAAGTTATAATATTATTTTATCCATATTGTCACTTATTAATTACTTACATTTAAAAATTTCCTTTTTATTTGTCTAGATAAAGTTAAGGAGTTCCTTTTACATGAATTATCATTAGTTGATATGTGTAAAGAAGGAGTTGGTACAGGAGTCAAAATTTGTTTATTGAGAGATCCATTGGTTTGTAAGCTTTCATCTTCTGAAAGACTTTCTATGTCAATGTCAACATCCACATCAAAGTCAGCATCTTCAGGATTCAATTTTTTTATTTTTACCTAAAATTATTGTTAACAATATATTCTTTTTGCAAACAGGAAAAAATTAACTCAACTTACAACTTCTTCTCCCTGTAACTGCATGCTTTTGGTAGGAGTCAGAGGGAGAGATGATGGATTTTCAGGAGGTCTTATTTTGTTAATAACATTAAATTTGCCCCTTTTGTTACGAATATTTTTCATATTAAAATGACGATTTATCTTTAATAAATTTTGAGTTTGCTTAAAAAAAAACCCTTTTTTATCATTTTTACTTCCTTTTCTTCCTGCATTTTTGGTGAGCCTCTTGGAAGTTTCTGGAACTGTTGGTTTAGCAGTACTAACACTCACCATTGCTTCTTCTATGCTTGCAGGTGTTTCACAATCAGAAACAATTTTTGTATCAGAATTTAAGGAATCAGATGACATACTTTTTAAGTGATCTTCATAAAAATGTTTTAAATAAAAGTTGACTTCATCAGCTGACTTACTACCTATAAATTTAGCCAAGCACACATTGTTTTTTCCAAAGATTTGGACACCATTGCACAGCAGACCTTTCTCTTTTATTGTCCATCCACTTGAATCACTGACAATGTTACCTGATGAGGTTGATGGTATTTCTTTGCTGGAATTCACTTTTTCTTGCTGAGCATTTGCTAAATGTTCTGTTTGCAGTTCTGACGAGAAGTACGAATTCCCATTAGAAAACCATAAGGCGTGTGTACCTGAATTGTCTAGGAATAATGGTGTAGTGTAATCACACGTTAATAAATCCGAGTTTTGTGAACCCAAAGCGGCACTAATATCACTGTAAATTTTCGATTAAAATTTCAAGTTAAACTGAAACCTACTGTTGTCTTCTGTACTTACAAGTTTTCAGACTGTGAAACTGAACTATCAACCGACAAATCGCCTAAAATGTCTATTTCGTCGTCTTCCGTCATTCTGCATACGGTTTTTATTGCATATTTGAAAGGTTTTGAAATAATTCATCCTCAAAAGAGCACTAACAAAGTTTAATGTAAACGTTGCAAATGCATACGCTTTTTGTGACGTGTGGCGTTTGACAATTAAAGAAAAATAGGTACCATCATATAATCATAAAATCACCAGTTCACTACAGAGCTGGATTTAAATTATTTATAGTTTCCAACTAATTATATCGAAAATATGTACCATATACAATCATTTTTAGTTTAAATAATTTGTTAATGTTAAAAGTATTTTGTGTTGTAGAATTATTATTTGTTCGTTTTATATTATGAGGATTACTTAGTGTTTGGGGAGTTTTAGTTTTCTGTTGTTTGATCCATTCAACTTGAATAATTAACGTACAAACCAGTACAAACGGGTCATATGTAATGAAAATTGTTTTTACCATTTAATGCACGTGTTTGCACTTTAATTCAATAAAAATACAGAGAAAAAGAGTACAATGGATTCATTAGAGGAAGAAAATGTAGACTGTGTAGACTACGAAATAAATCTAAAGGAGATTTTGGATAAAGTAGAACGACAAGTAGACTTTTATCGAGAAAACAGTAAGAATAATGTTGTAATTTCCCTTGATAATTTAAACAAAGCACAGAAAATTAATGATACATAAATGAAAAATTGTTCTTTAGGTGCCACGCTAAGAGAAGCTCTATCAAAATTAAATATCCTCAAAGAAGATTTATGTTCAGAATACCAAAATAAGTTAAACAAACTTGCACAATACCAAGAAATGTTTGGAACAACTGATTGCAAACCTGAATCCATTGCCCTTTCACACATAGATCAATTAAGAAAACAAAACGTTTATATGGCCAAAGTGAAAACCTGTAGGAAAATGTATATAAATCTGAATGAAAAACTCACCAAAGACATTAAAAAATTAAAAAGGTAACAAAATACAGGTCAGGGTTAAAGGGTATAATCTGCACCTCCCAGCTGTATGTCATATTTACAGACCCACGTTTCAAACATACACTTATAATAATATTGAGTTATTCGTTTTATATCCATGTTGTTTTTTCCATCTTGACCTCCTGCTTTTCATGTTTCCAATTTTTATATTAGCTACAGTTTACAAGCAAAAAAATATATTTCTTTTTTGTAATACAATAAATTTTTATGGTTAATAAAGTAATTAAGGGGCATACAGCTGTAGAAGCAGATCACCAAAGCTTGTAATTGTTATTGCAATTCTTTGTGTTGTTAATTATGTAATGAATTGGTTTTTAGTGAGTATGCACATTCCAAAGAAAAAATAGAATGTTTTTTACAAGTATCTAATGACGAAATTAAAGCTCATCAACTTAAGATTCAAAGATATGAAGAACAGTTAGCAAAATTTGAAGTATGCTTTAATTTTACTTTGTATTTTATTTTATTTATTAATTGATAACTGTTACAGGAAAAATACCCATGGCTAAAGAATCCGGAATTGGATTTGAATAATATAACTAAAGAGATTCAGGCACTTAATCAATTAAAAGAAAAGAAAATAAAATTAATGAAAGAGATGGATGTGTACCAAGGACTGAAACCTGACATTACTGAAGCTCGCGAGCAATTAGAAGATATTAAGAAGAAATATAACGAATTAAATAATTCATTTAATACCTATAACAATATTAAGAATTTTTGATATTTTTTTAGATTTTTTATCATGTAAACGTCTTTAAAGCATGCGAA